TATACAAATTCAAGAAGAGTGATATGCGCCATATAATTCAGGACTTATAGGAGGGCAAAAATGTTTGTCATTTCATGTCTCTCCAGCTCCTTAAACATTAGTGTTGAAATCCATGCCGACACTCTGAACCAAGAACAAATCAGTTAATAGTATGTATGTGTGTGTATTTATATACTCCCTCCGTCTCTAAATAAAGTTTCATTTTTGACTTTTTGAGGATTTAAGGGAGGGATATTTAGGTGTTGACTTTCCAAAAATACTCTAGATGTGATGTGTTAAAGTAAAATGTGATAGGTAGATTATTAGTAAAAAGGTATGATGTGATAGGTAGGGTATGAAAAAGTAAGGGGTAAAAGGGGTTTTTTAAGGGAAAAGAGAAGTTTATTTAGGGACAAAGAAAAAACAAAAGAGGAACTTTATTTAGGGACGGAGGGAGTATATAGATTTTGGTTCATATGAGAATGCGATCTTATGAAAGAAATAAGAATGAATCCGGTGCTTTAGATTGTGAGATCTAAGGGTCAAGATTGCATCAAAATTAGGTGCACCAAAATGGTTTGAAAATGCATCATGTCGTAATGCACCAAAATCCCTTGAAAATGCACTATCCCAAAATCTGATTCCAGGATGCAATCTGAGCCGCACGATGCATCAGATCCAAAGGCTAGATTTTATTCTTATTTCTTTCACCAAGGTGCATTCTCACCTGAACCGGCCCATATATGGGGTTGGTTCCCGTGAGAATGAACCTTAGTGAAAGAAATGAGAATGGATCTAAACCATTAGATTGTGTGTATCATGCGGCTTGGATTTTGACAAGTAACTGCTTGTTTATATGGTAAGTATTAATGCATTTGCAATAAAATACGAAGATATGAAGTAGTAAGGGTATTTTTGTAAAAGATGTATTAATTAAAATAGGTAATGATCCGTGCACATTAAGGCCCAAATTTTCAGCCATTATTTTAGGAGTGGTCAAATTAATGATGGTGATATTAATCTTTTTTTTTTTAACCGTGCAATCATGGAGTTGTCAAGTTAATGATTTCTTCTTTTTCTCCCTTTCTTTTTGTAAATTTTTTTATCAAAATCAATAATGGATAATATTTACTATTAAGATCTTTATAATATTTTATTGGTTTTTTGCTTTATTTTAATGCATTTCTCAAAGTGAAAGAGAATTTTTTATTTATTTTCATTATTGTTTTTAAATGAAATAATATATGGTTTATAATTTAATTTTATTTCTAAATACTCATCTCTTTTTTCATCACTTTTTTTCAAATTTTGTTCATATTTTTTCCTCATGTGATAATATTGTTATCAGTATGCACCATTTTAATATATAACTGCAATACACATTGTAAATTATGCATGCATTATTTATTTATTGTTGTAGATTAATAAATAATTACTTTTGATTGACTTTATATGTGAGTAAAGAGTCTCAAAATACATTTTATTTAGAATAAGTGTAATATAGACTTGAAAAATATTTTACCTATGCAGGATTCGGACCTACATTTGTAGTACATACTGCTCTACCATATGATGAGTTAATATGCAAGAATTGGTTTTTTCAAAAAGACTCTCATCTTGCACTTGGAAATATTAAATGTGCATTTTAATCTTTTAAGATTTGCATCATTCAATATGTTTATAACTCATATTTAAATTTAGCACGAAATATTTTAGTGCTATTTAGTACAAATATTTCATATTTTAAAGCTTCATCGTTTGTGAAAATTCACTATCTAATACTCCCTCCGTCCCAAAAAGGAATGGGACGGTTTGACTTTTTGGGAAATTAAGGGAGAGATATTTTGGTATTGACTTTCCAAAAATACCCTTGACGTGATGGGTAAAAGTAGGATATGATAGGTAGATTATTAGGAAAAAGGTATGATGTGATAGGTAGGGTATGAAAAAGTAAGGGGTAAAAGTGGTTTTTTAATTGAAATGTAACGGACTTTATGGGACGCAGTTTTTTCTAAACGTAACAAACTTTTTTGGGACGGAGAGAGTATATTCAAGTGCATCATACTTGTGTTAGGAGAATTTTAACATACATGCATCAACTTTAATTATGAAAATGCACCTTAGCATAATGAAAATGCATTATCATTTAACTTGATTATGATATGCATTGATTTCTCATGATAATGCATTATTGTTATTCTATAATGCATAACATACTCATGAAAATCCGTCATTCTGATAATCTACCGGTAAGAGCAGCCCCAGTCGTCGCTACTCTTCTCCGATCTCTGTTTCTGGTGCCTCTCTAATAGGGGAATTCATAAATTAAATTATAAAGAAACAAGAATCTTGGTTTATTTAGGAAAGAAATTTCATTGTGTGAGAAAAAATTGAGGTGCTAATTTGGGGAGAGAAGGCCGAATGATTTGAGAGAGATGGAAATCTAAGCAAAATACATATTTACCCTTATTAAATGTCAAAGATTGAAGGCGTGAAGTGCTTGATCCAACGTCTCAAATTCATTCTCATTTCTTTCATAAGATCTCATTCTCACTAGAACCAAACTATATATATATATATATATATATATATATATATATATATATATATATATATATATATATATATATATTGCTTGCTGAAGTCATAATGATCTGAATATATAAACATATATCCATAAATGAATTAAAGACCTTTAGCAAAGCAATAGCATGCAGATTTTGCAATTCAGTGAAACCATATAAGGAAGTCACATTGAGGGGATATGACATATACTACCTATACACACTGCGGTTGGATTGAAACAATATGAGACTATACATCGAGTGAACAAAAAATATTGTTGGAGTTTCCACGTCGGAAAATAAAGAAGAATATCACTAGCATATGTAGAATGGTGAAACTATGTCTAACCGTTTAAGCTTGTAGGTTAGAATTGAAAGTGAATCCTGACTTTATATGCAAGTGGTAAATTTTACCCAACATTCCATCCATTTTTCTCGACTCACCGGAATTTTAACAAATATCTCTCGGTGTGAACATGTAAAATTGTAAAAATCAGCATTTGTTGCCAATAGTGTTATAAGAGTCATTTTGCTGACATTGTTTTAGTTTCAAAACAAGTCTACAAAATCAAGATGGGTTTTTAAACGTTCATTTTTATTATCTTTTTGTGAAGTTATGGATGATAATAATGCATCAAGGGTCTTATGTAACTGAAAGTTGAAACATCTTTTTCTTACAAGGCTAGCTAAATGTCACTTTATGCAAAAACTAATTGTGCTTTTGCAATGCATTTATATGTTCAATATTTCCAAGCATGAGTAAAATTAAGGGGAACTTATTTTTCAGCCATATAATGAGCTGAGAGATTCTGGTTCTAGATGATATGATTAAAATTGAAAAATCTAGAAAAAGTAGATTAAAATTATCAAAAGAATCAAGTTATTACATGCATGACCAAAAATGTCATTTAGTCATTTTTTCATTCCATAGTGGTGAGGAGGTTGCTTTAAGATTTTGAAAGCCAAAACTCAATGGCATTGAGATCATACTGAGTTTGAAGTGAAAATGAAAATAATCAAATATATTAAGATGAAATGAAATTAAGCTAGTACTTATGTTTATATATATTGCACCATGCCAAAACAAACCATCTTTGAGAAAAGAGAAACTTTAATCCATTCAAATGTGTATATATACAATGCAAATTAATGCCCCCTCCATTTCAATTTCTTCTTAGCTTCCCATTTGGAAAAACGTGCAAAAATTGATCATTTCTAAAATGAAAAGCACTCCGTACAAATTAATTACATTGTTTAAAATTACATAAAAAATTCTACTTCCTTCGTTCTCAAAAACATTTCCTCTTTCATTTTTTCCACTTCCAACAAAACACTTCCCTTTTCTATTAAAAACCCACTTTTACCCTTACTTTTTCATACCTTTCCTATCACATCATACTTTTTCTCTAATAATCTATCCATCACATCTTACTTTTACCCATCACATCAGGGGCAAAATTGGAAATCAACTATAATTTAACACTTCCTTATTTTTGCCCCAAATCCAAATGGGAAGTGTTTTTCCATACGGAGGGAGTACAAAATAAGTGGTGACATAAATATTTTATTTTATCAAATAACTAATCAAAACGTACATAAATTTTTCAAATAACTAATCAAAACTACTATCATAGCTTCTCTATAATAGTAATTAACTAAAAAGATAAATTTGAATCAGAGAAATTAAAGTATATAAACAAACAATGCTGCTGGCTAGAATGAAGAAGAAGATGAAACCTGAAATGCGGAATAACATATGATAAGGAGCTAGAAATCATGTGTTCATAACTAAAACAAGAAAGACCAGACAACAATTTGAATGATGTATGTTACCAGTGATTAGTTAATTAATTGATTAATTGAAACATATGTACGCATGATTAAGGAGCAGCGAGATCTGAGAAACAAATACCTTCTCCTTGGCCGGCCAGCAGGGAAATAAAAAAAGCTGCGGGAAGAGAAGAGGAGAGAGAGAGCAACCACCACGCACCTAGCAGAGGGCAGTAAATACATTACCAAAAAGCAGGCTACAGTGCCCAAAAGAAAAGCTCTTTCCCCCTCCGATCCCATCCCTGCTATATAGCTTCTTCGATCACATTCTGCCGCTGCACCAAAAGTCTGGCATCCATCTCTATGCATACATGCATATACAGATGCTGCATTGTTTATTTGGTTAATGAATTTCAAGTGTGTGTGTATATATAATATAAATGGGAAGGCGAATCTTTCCGGCCATGCATATTGCTACAGTTGTTAACTATATATACGCACACATTTGGAGTTATAATTTCAAAAGAAATGATGTAAATAAAAAAAAGAAGATGAAGAAATAATGGATCGGGGAGCTAGGCGCATGAAATTCAATTAAATTAAATATGAATTGAAGCAGTGTATGTAATTGACGACGGATCTGTCCATCTCACAATCTCTCCGATCCGATCCGATCCCCCTCCCTTGTGTATACACAGGAATTTATGATGAAGAATACTACTAGGGAATGAAATGTCGCAATTTTATGATATGCTCATCAAATTAATTAAATGTCCCAATCTAGGGACATGGAAGCGGATGAAGACGACTTCCTGGGTTTATTATTATTATTATTATCATAATCATCAGATTCCAGATGTAGTTCTTCGGTGTCGTCGCCGTCATCATCGTAGCCGGAGGACTTTAGTTGAAGCAAAGTGGATGGGATGGTTGTTGTTGTTGTTGAGGCGGCGGCGGCGGAGGTGGAGGAGGAGGGGTAGAAGGAGGTGTCTCCGTCCAAAATGGGGCAGTCCACGTTCACCCCGAAGAGCCTCAGCCGCTTTGCAGCCGCCTTGCCGTGGACGACAACCGGCATCGACTCAAACACCACCGCCGCCGCGGGGCCGGCGGCCCCTCCTCCTCCTCTATGCATCATTTGTTGCTGCTGGGAGGCGGCGGCCACTATCGGTCTCAGGTAAATCCCGGACGAAGATACCCCCGAGCAAGGGTTTCCATTCACCACCACCTCCCCGCCGCTGGGACCACCGCCGCTGATGAGCCCGTAGCCGTACGAAGACGGGTGCAGGGGGGCGGAGAACACGGCTTGGTGGTGGTTCCAAGCGGCGGCGGCCGGGTAGTGCTGATGAAAGGGGGAGCGCTGGAAGGAGGAGAAGTGGTGGTGGGGCAAGGAGATGACGGGAGTGAGGTGGTGGTGGTGGTCCGGGCGGCGCCTCCAGTCGATGAAGAGGCGGTCCCTGGCGGACTCGGAGGCACCCCGCTGGAAGGAAACCACGTCGCCGGCATCCAGCTTCTTCTCCTTGACGAACCGGCTCCAGCCCTTGGTCATCACGTAGCTCTGGCTGCTGTTCCAGTAGGAGTACCTGAACCGCCACGGTTTCCCATTCCGGTCCTCGAAGTTCAGCAGAAGCCCCTTGTCGTTGTTGGAAGAGTCCAAGGGAAAGTACTTCTCCGCGTGCTGCTTCGGAATCACCAGCCGGTTCAGCTTCCCCACGTCGCTCGGCGTCACCACCTTGTCAAACATGTGCTCCTTCTCCACAGCCCCGCCGCAGCCGCTTCCGCCCGCTTCCGGATCCGCCGTCTTCGCACCCTCCTCCTCCCCCTCCCCTCTTCCCCCCTCATCCAACCAAACCCTTTGCTGGCGGCCGTACGGGAAGGAATTAGAGGAACCTAGGGTAAATGGGTGCATACCTACTACGTACCTCTCCCTCTCACTACTACTATATATACCCTAATTGATCGAGGAATTGAAGATCAAGAAGAAGAAGAAGAAGAAGAAACACAGGCTTATAAGTCACAACCTATATATCTTGGAATAATGCTGCTGCTTCTAGATCTACAAAACTTGCCCAATTTCCATAGGGTAAAGAGAGATTTGAGTGTGGGGAATTTTTTTTCCCTGGATTTCAATTGGGATTTCTGTTTGATAATTGGGAATTGATGAGGGAGGAAGCTAATAATAATAGTAAGCCATGTATACTAATAATAATAAACTAACAAAAATGGCTTTCACAAGGTAGCTAGCTAGCTAGCTAAGATGGTCGTATATATGATAAAGATATAATTATAAGCAACAATTTTCTCTCTTTTTTTTTGAAAAAAGAAAAAGAAGAAAAGAGCTAAGGCACGTTTGGTTCGTGGTAATTAATTTCAACTA